TTTAATAGATTCTACCCAAGAGAAGCTGGGGTGGGTCGCTAGATCTTAATTGAATCGCACACTTGTCCATGCCAAGCGTTCTTTTGAAATATGACAGGTTGGAAATTACGTTGTAGTAATACCGAAGCGGACCAAAAGGTTCACATAAACTTGGATTATTCGCAAACTAGAAAATGAACTAACAAATTTACACAGCGAAAAGTGCTTTTAATTTTTTTTATGTGTCTTTTCACCTTTCCCGAATATCTGCAATTAATTAAATGCTTATTGTTTAAGGGGCCACCCGTAGGAGGTATAATACTACAATTTTGAAAATTAATTAGCTGCAATTCGCAAATAATAAAGTAAGAGGTGTATTTAAAAAAACTTCCGCCCCATTTGAGAACCGAATCGTGTGAGGTGTAAAAGCTTCTTTATTTTTACACTGGTTTAAAACATGGCGCGGTTTCGGAAAATACAGACATAAATCAAAGGCGGATTTAAAATTCAGGATACCTTTTATAGGATTGAAACAATTATAAAGAGACTCATTTATGGCGGAGCGAGTCTTTTCTTCTAGATTTCCTGACGATAAACATGTCAATAAGTGCGGCACTTTAAACTGAGCACTATTATCTAATTTGAGCCGCAATGGCGTAACAAAGACGATTGCAATGAAAGGAGTCACGGTTCTCAGCAATAAAGGACCGATTATAGAGAAAGGGAAAGTCTTCTCATGTATATCTAGTATAGGATATATATTTTTAATATATAGATATGTATATATGTAACTTTAATTTAGGTATGCGGGAAAAAGCGAACGCGATTCCTCACCCGAAATCTGGAATTTCTGACACAAATTTCGGGAAAATATAGACGTGTTTGTTGTTAGACAGATGCTGCTGCTTATCGCCTTTATTACCTGGTTCATCTACCTCTGTCGCCTCTTACGATACCATAGGACAATATGAGGTAGTGGATATTCTGACACCTGTAATTATTTTCTACGGTTTTAATTTCCCATAAATACGCAATTTTGCTACTGTACTATTAAATAACGTAAAATTAAGGTAAGGCAACCGCCCATAACTGGGTGAGCACATTGCATGTTTCTCACAATGCTTGTATCTTGTTTTTAGTTTTTGTGTATCATCTGTCGGTGACCCTTATAAATAAATAAATAAAGCATAATATTTTGTAATCGATATTATCGTCAGATAGTCGCTAAACAATTCACACATTAAGCGCACAACGTATGCATAAAATCATATAGTGGGTAAACAATAATATTGTTAATAGTATATTAGCACGTGGAACTCCACACCATATCTGTTTGCACGAGTTTACACCTCTCATCTGGCCATCTGCTGATTGGTAATGTTACTCGGAAAATGCGCAAAAATATAATATTTAAAAACATCTTCATTTATAATACAGAGTAGAGACACGTGCTATCCTAATGATTTCTAAATATTATCTACCAGCGTAAAGTAGCAGCTTCATGCATGCTGCTGTGTTTCGTATGGTCTGTGCAGAGAACCGGAGGCCCTTTTACTGGAATGCATCTGCATTTCGATTCTTAATCGAGGGTAAATGTAGATGTCCATGGGCCACAGCATCCACTTACCACCAGGTGGACAGTGTGCTCGTTTGTCGCCCTTATCTATAAAAATCTAAAAATAAAACAAGTGATAAAATAAAAAATCTGTACAACTGACTTCAATATAAATTATTAAGGATAACTCAAAAAACTACTGGACACCGACTTGAGAAGCACTAGCTTCCAAATAAAAAAAGAATCATCGAAATCGGTTCACCTAGAAAAAAGTTATGAGGTAACAAACCTAAAAAACAAACAGTAGAATTGAGTACCTCCTGCTTTTTGAAGTCGGTTAAAACATCATTTGATACGAGGCTGCACAGGTTGTACGACTTCTTACGTCTTGATAATATGATTCTCTACATTATTTTTTTATTATACATTCGTAGGAATTAATTTATATAAACCGGAACGTATTTGATTTACCTTTATATTACAGTTTATCATATAAAGCAATCTAATATTGTTCAGCCTTCATATAGCCCCTTGGCCAACGCTACTAAATTCACTCGAACCTTAATTACGACGTAATTCTTCTTGTAGAGGTTATAAAAGCACGAAAATGCGGTTGCACAGTTTCTTGTCTCCCAAGTTGTTTCTTAGACAGTCTATTTAAAATTAAGTAATCTGATTTTGTTTTCATGTATCAAAGACAGATGATTGAGATCTAATGTGCCGCGGAATATTCAAAGCATAATTTTAAGTATTTAAGAATTTTTCACGTTTCGATTTTTTTTTGGTAAAATTTTTAAACGCAATCAAGGTGGCTATGAATCGATGTTGTATTATTTTGTTGAGAATGTAGAATACTTAATGTAATAGAAAACTGTTCAGTAGCGCAGTGACTATACGTTTTGTCTTTGTTCTGCGGGCTGCGGTTTCGAATCCCACCGCATATACATGTGGTCCACAAATAATGAAAATTAAAACACTTGAAAATTAAAAGACAATCTAAGCCATTGCGCCACGGGCGGCCTAGCAATGAGATGCTATGTTGTAGCAATGAGTTGCTGAGCTGAGGGTCGCGGGTAGGGCATCGGAACCGGTTTTTCGTCGTCGGATTTCAGGTTTTCAGGGGTCACGAAAAGAACCGGTTCCAAAAATTTAAAACCCGGTTCTTTCGGTTCCTTCGGTTCCTTTACATAATATATTAAAAAGTATATCACCGCAATGTAGTGTAATAAAAAAACGTGATTATTAATTATTTCTGCTATTTATGGCAAACAGTATGATTTGTAATGATATTTAATTTAATTTGGTAAAAATTTTCAAGGGTTCCCCCACTAAAAGTGACGAAATTCTTCAAAAGCATATCATAGCTGATTTCGGACAAGAATATTGTTTGGTTTTAGATGTAAATACACGCTTTCTGAAGTTAAAAACGATCACAAAAGCATTAATTGATTTCAAATCTGATATTGTAGGTATTTACTGAGGAAGACTGGACAAACATAGAAGAGTTAAATAAGATATTGGATGTTATTAAAACTATCGTAGAAGCTCTATCCCGTCGCGATGCAACATTGATTACAGCCGATGTTTCTTAAAAATTTACTATAAGAAAATTAATTGAAATTAATACTCATCTTAGTAACAAAATGGTCACTGTATTGCGAAAACAATATAAAAAACATGCAAGCATCAATATTGCGATACTTAAGCACTCCTGACAGTTATTTTACCAGTATGGACGATGCAACTATCTTTTCCGGCCTACAAATAATGAAAATTTTTACGTGGTAGAGCCATGCTGCAGTTATATTACTGGTATAGTTGCAGCACGAATGGGTCGGCTCGTACCTCGAACGGGGAAGGACCACGCTGTCACAGAATACGCTGCTGTGTATGGTGAGTGTAGAGAACCGGATACCCTTTTTACTGGAAACGAGGCATTCAATCTTAGTCCTCACGGGTGACAACGCATCTGCATTTTAATTCGTCGATTCGAATATTTTCTTCGTCTGCAATAGGCTGCGCTCGTCTTTGAGTGATAAAAATTTGCATGCATTAATTTTTCTTTGTTGTTTTATTTAAGTAAAATTAAGAAGTAATGTTTAATTAAAATATTTTTTTCGTAAGTGAGCTGATTTATCTTTTGTTATAAGAACAGTATTCGTAAAGTATATTCTATGATAGAATAGTGCAATGTTATAATAGAATAGAATCTTTCTAAACTATTATTATGTTGAATGATATTAAGTAATGTGAAATAACTGTTAACGTGTGAATGTTCCTAGTTAGTGAGAAGTTTGATTATATTTAATTAGAAATAAACTATTGAAATTATTACTTGAATACTTACTTTAACCCAAGATTTGCAATAAACTGTTTTCTTTATGAATATTATTATCGTTATTCACATTGAACGAAATAGCCTCCAACCTAAAAGAAAGAAAAGAACCGAAAGAACCAGGTACCCGGTTCCGGCAAAAGTTTAGAACCGAAAGAACCGGTTCCTGGAAAGAGACCGGTTCTCGATGCCCTTCGGGTTCGAATCCCGCACGAAACAAGTATTTCTATGGCTTTCAAATAATTGTTCCGAGTCTGGATGTTTGTCCTTGTGAAATTTATGTATGTAAATTGCCCTCACGATATTGGAGAAAATTCTAGCGTGGAGGTAACGTTTAAAAAAACACGAAAAAAAAACGAGTAAAAAAATAAGAAAATAAATTTAAGAAATTAAAATTAATTTTATCAAACGTTAACATGTTTTTTAATTTACCACTATTAGAAAACGAGTTTCCTCTGTTCGGAGAAGATGCAAAGTAAACTTCGTAGGTATATATGTATGAACTTTACGTGGTAGAGCCACGCTGAAGCTATATTGTGGTTGTAGGACGAATGGGTCGGCTCGACCGGGGTACGACCACGCTACCACAGAATATCAGCGTAAAATAGCAGCTTAATGCTGCTGTGTTGCGTATGGTGAGTGTAGAGAACCGGAGACCCTTTTTAGACCCAGAAACGAGGCATTCCATCGCAGTCCTGAGAAGTGACAACGCATTTGCATTTTGATTCTTAATTGAGGATAAATGTAGATGTCTATGGGCCATAGCAGCCACTTACCATCAGGCGGATTGTGTGCACGTTTGTCAGCCTTATTTTATAAAAAAAATTAGCTTCTCTTGTTTCTAGCCTAGATGTTTCATTAAAACTTAAAACATCTTCACTAAAATAGAGTTATACCTAATTTAAAAAACAGTATTTGGTTTTAGAAATGAAGCAATATTATGCAAACCAATAATAAAATTTTCATGATAGTCATTGATAACAGAGCACAAATTATTCATAACCGTTATTGAAACTAGAATTTTAAAACTTATAAAGATTCATTAAATACAAAATACTCTTTTGATACTCGTAAAAAAATAACTAAAAATAAAATAAATAAATAAAGATAAACCAACTCATTAACGCTTACCTGAATTTGCAGGCGTTCGGCGACGTCGTGCTGATGCTTTCCTCACAGCGATGGTAATTAAAGAGTCCATCTCACTCCCGGAATCCCACCTTGGGCGTTGAGGGGCTGGCTTTTGAACTCTCGCATCGTCCTCTGTATCCCTATCACTGCTGGTTGGCGGCAGGTTGGATTCGTCACTTTCAGGCGGCCTTTCTACTTTCGCACTACAAATCACTTCGATATTGACATCCTGAATATCATCCATATAAGAGAGTGGATGCGTCAAAGTCCTCTGTATATTACCTTTTCTATGGCGCACCTTCATCGAACTCTCTGATAAGGACCTTTTGCAACCTAGTTTGCTTTCCGTTTTCGGATCTCCACGAGCACATTTTAAATCCGACGGAGACAAGGATTTTTTTCTAGAGTTGCGTCTTTTGATGCTCCTTTTTTGCCTGCTTGACTCTCGTGCGGTCTGCATTGTTGAACATTGGTGTTACCTGTAATCAAAAAATAATAACACACTAAATAACTTGCTCGCAGTTAAAAGTTATATACAAAGAATATCATTCTTTCAAACAATTTATTTGGGTAGTTCACATAGCACAAGTGATAACTATTGAAGCTGACATATTTATTGAAACATGAAATCGAAGACTTAATAAACTTATTTTTCAGATTCATATTTATGTAACTACATATTTATCTCATCTTTTAACTTATTTTGAAAACGCGACATTATAGGAATTTGCAGCAACCATGGTCACGAGAGGCTATGGAACGTTGTAATTGCGTAAATATAAGATATCATTAAGATTAGAGATATCAAAATTACCGCAATTTCCTTGAGTGCAACAAATTTAAAATAATTATTGTTCATTGATATTTGAAAATTCAATTTCGCAAGCAAGCGGGCATCATCAGCAAAAATTACCTTTCGAAAAAAACCGCAACCGCAAACCAAGGTAATCCAATGTTATCTGTATCGCATAGTGTCACTGTTTTCCTAAACAAATATCTACGTCAACGTGTATTATCTGTGCAAAATTAATAATGTAATCACACAAATGATAACGCACATAAATAAATACTAAGCGCGACAACCAGACGGTGGAGGTATTTTCATCAGCAGCTGAATTATTCATTCACTCTTGTATTTCTTGTAACACGCGTTTGTATTTGTTAAAATGATTTAAAAAGTTAAAGGTCATAATATCACGGCCGCCGCAACGCGACGTCCGCAGTCAACGGAACTTTGCACTCAACTGCCTGTGTAGTGTGTAGTATTTAACTGTACAAACGGTAACACCAGCCTAACTGTTATTAAGGCTTGACAAACAGGGTTTTCAGTGATAGTTGTGCGCTATTTGTATTAAGATATTTTACAAATAATAATTACATACTTGAGACGTAGACGTAGTTTTAAGTTATTTATTTTGTAGCAAACATATTATCTGGTAATATTCATGTGTTTTATTAGAAGATATACTGGCCATGTCAACTAAGTGAAAAGAGCCACCGAAATATACTCTTAATTCTAACTCATAAGAAATATCAAATATCTATGTTGCTTAGTATTATTATAATTATTTATTATTGATTTTGTAATAAGAAATACATTTTGTTTGAAGTGAATCTAAACCATGTTATTTAATAAATATACATATACCACTCTTGAGTTTTTGACGTGGTAGAGCCATGCTGCAGCTATATTAGTGGTATAGTTGTAGCACGAATGGGTCGGCTCCACCGTGGAAGGACCACGCTCTCACAGAATACCAGCGTGAAATAGCAGCTTAACGCTGCTGTGTTTCGTATGGTGAGTGTAGAGAACCGGAGACCCTTTTTACTGGAACCGAGGCATTCTATCTTAGTCCTCACGGGTGACGACGCATCTGCATTTTGATTTGTAATCGGGGATAGATGTAGATGTCTATGGGCTACAGCAACCACTTACCACCATGTGAACTGTATGCTCGTTCGTCACCCTTATCCTATAAAAAAAACTTTTATCTATCGACTCCCTGCATGACTCCTCTATTCCTTTTGTAAATCTAGGGCACATGATTACCTACTCAGCGTTTACCGATATGCGGTTGCTAACCGATAATGTTTCTTCTCCGTTGATTATCGGTTCTACGAGCTAACATATAATATTTGTCATTATTTTCTGAACACTGTCCTGTCGAGATGGATCCACCGATTCATAGTCTAAGTTGGACTTAGTCGGACAAACGTTTTAACTTTATTAACCTCATAAAATACTTCAAAACATGACTTAATTGAATTATTAATTAACTGATCGTATAATTCACTGATTAATGAAATACCTGAAAGATCTTATGGATTATGATAGACTGTTTGCGGCATTTCGTTTATGACAGACGTAAATTAACTAGATTATGATGGAGAGTAGGCTGGTACTGAATTGTCAATGGGCATGTCAAGCATGATTAAGATTAAAGAAAATGTATCTCCTATAATAGGAGAGAAATATCCATTTATATAATTAATAGAATCAGGCGTTACTTTGCGGAAATCCATTATATAAAAGCTTTTAAAAAATTTTACTTCGCCTTTTTTATTGCCTAGTGTAGTGGTGTTGGGAGTAGCGGTGCTGGGATTAGTGGTGACGGAGATAGTGCACGCAATTGAAGGAGGGCAGGAGGTACTCTTTATACTAGGTAAGACACATCATTTTATTTTATAACGCGGATATTTGCGAATAAAAATTTTTCTAAAAGCTTTTATATCCATTTATGAATTTTCCTGGGCTGATGAAAGAGAAGAAGAAAAAATTTCCTTGTAAGAAAGTAGACTTTTTTCTCTGAGTAGTTTAAAGAGTAAAGGAGATCAGTAGCCAAATGAAAATTCCATTTTAGTTCTCACATGTAACGATCCAACTCCATTTTTTTAATCAAGGACGGGTGGGTTTTTTTCATTTTACCTTAGCCAATTATTTTTATAAATACAAAATCATAACTGTTAAAGAATTTTAACACAAATAGTCTAGAATTGATTAATTGCATATAGTTTAAAATAGTGCGTGCAGAGTGCAATGTTAATTTGTTCTATCAGCAAGTTAATAGTTACCACTTAAACGCAGAAATTATAGACGGCCGACTGACCTTAATTGTTGTCGCAATAGAACACTAATACCTAAATAACGTCACAATGATTCCTTATATAGTCTTAATTTATTATAAAAGCGAACATACGCATATTCGTTTATTTTATAATCTATACAAATAAATAAAATTGAAGTGTCTATTAGTAATGTCAAAATTACAGCTTTTTACTAAATGCATATGAAAGTATATACGGTACTAATAACAAAAATAAAATTTTTAAAGTTTTTCTCTGTCTGTCTGTCTGTCTGTCCGTCTGTCTGTATGTTTGTTCCGGCTAATCTCCGAAACGGCTGGACCGATTTTGACGGGATATTCACTGGCAGACAGCTGATGTCACAAGGAGTAACTTAGGCTGCTTTTATTTTAGAAAAAGAATTAGGGTTCCGCGCTAAAAAATTAAAACCCCAAATAACACGCGGGCGAAGTCGCGGGGAACAGCTAGTATGACATAAAAAAGAATATTATAATATGATATAGAAACAATATTATAACCTTTATGAGCGATTTTACTCTTTGGCATTTCTGGCATTTATCATATCACATATATTAAGAAGCTCAAGGTCGCTCAGCGAGCTATGGAAAGGGTTATGCTCGTAGTTACTCCGCGCGATAGACTTCGCGCGCAGTAGAACGATAGAAAGAAACCGCCATATAGCTCGAAGACACCGACAATCGATGGGGAAGAAGTTCTCGAGAGGTTGCTTCGTTCCGGTAAGCGAAGCGTATGGGGGCTCCTTCACTAAATGAAATGCTGACCTAGTAAAAGATGCAGGCAGTCGATAGTTGCAGGTGGTTCAGTAACGTGATTTTTGGCATTCCTTGGGGGAGGCCTACGTTCAGCAATGGACTTGTAATGAGCTATAATGATTATGATTTTCCTTCGTGTTGATTCATGAATTGTATTCCAAAGAAAAAATGAGGACAAGAGAATTTACACAGAGACGTATAAAAATAGCATTATTATTTTCGCAAACACAAATGTTGAATTATATAATTGTAGTTAAAACCAGCCACTTACGCGCACTAAACTAAGTTTAATAACATGAAATTTAACAAAGTTATGTAACTAGTACTTTAAATAAATGGTAAATGGCTACGTTTAAAAATTGTTGTATTTTTATAAAGCAGAATGGCTATAAATAATAAGCCAAATAGAAAAGTCCATTGATAAGACATTTTAATTCAAGCATTAATTTCTTTTATCATTTGAAGGTTCAAACTTAAAGAATAACGAAGACATATTCCAACAATCAAGAAAAATGTGTATTGTGTATCTTCAAAACAAAAACGAATTCACCTACAATGATTTCTATGTTTATATTATTAAAAAAATCTCCAACAATAGTTTCTGACAACAAACGGACTTTGGGTATATTTTAATTTATTTATTTGACAACAATCAGTCATTTTAAATATTTTGATTAGTGCTGCTTACTTACCTATAGTGCCGAAAAGAGTTAGTTTTAGATTTCAAGATATAAGATATAGCGGCTTAGTTTGAGCAGTGCTTAAAAACATTAGTTTTAGTTATAAAAAAAAATTATCTTACAGATATAGTTAGAATACTAAACACAAAAAAGTGCAACAAAATGTTGAGAAAACCTGGACCAATAAGACTAAATAAAAGAATAATTACTGAAACAGGCGATCTGTTTTGTATACAATATAAGGTATCATTTATGTTTTTGTAACAATACAAAACTTATTAAAGTCTAGCAGCAATTTATTATAATTAAAACGATTAAATCCCACAGTTCTTAAAACTTTAATTAATTAGAATAAGAAGTAACGATTGATCGGGTAGTCGTTAGCAAATGCTTTACTAAATCCCTCTAGTATCTAATTAAAAAATAACAACTTTTTACCGATTTAGACATACTGATTGCGAGTGTCATTACGAATCGTCTCGCACACAGACTCGACTACTTCCAGCCTCCCGAACAAGCCGGTTTCCGAAAAAGCTTTAGTACCGTAGACCACATACATACGCTTCGGCAAATTGTACAGAAGACCGAGGAGTACAATTTGCCACTTTGTCTTGCGTACGTGGACTATGAGAAAGCCTTTGATTCCGTCGAAATTTGGGCGGCGCTGCAGTCCCTTCAGCGGTGCCAAGTTGATTGTCAGTATATCGAAGTGCTGAAGTGTTTGTACATTAATAGGGCTACGATGGCTATCCGAGTACAGAACCAGAGTACAAAAACTATGCAAACCTATCCCGAAACTCTTCACCGCTGCATTGGAAGACGTTTTCAAACTACTGGACTGGAAAAAATACGGTATTAACATCAATGGCGAGTACATCACTCACCTTCGATTTGCCGACGATATAGTTCTTATGGCACAATCGCTTTAAGACCTAAGCACTA